GATTAATCAAACCTGAAGAGGGTCGTGGAAACTCCACTTGAGGCTGATTGGTCAGAAGTTTAGAGGCCTGGACTTGTGATTGGTGAGGGCAGGCAGTCTTGTGGGACTGGTCTCTCAACCTGTGGGATCTGATAGTATCTGCAGGTAGATAGCATTGAAATTGAATTGGAGGACACCCAGCTGGTGTCTGCTGCAGAATTGATTGCTTACTTGGTATGTTGGGTGAAACCCCTATACATTTGGTCACAGAATTCTTGTGTTGATTGTTTTGAGAGCAGAAGAAAAACAATTTGAATTTTTTCACTCTTAGGCAGTACAATAATTCTTTAGAAAACTTGATGAATAAACCAGCAAGCATTGTCAAAGAACAAAAAAATTATTTCTTTTACCACTTCATAAACTGGCAGTGATTGAAAGCATTTGCACACATATTCCTAATGTTTTTAACAACTACATCCATGACACTTTTCATAGTCTCCTTTAAAAAGTTGAACACAGTATTTTCCACTCAATTCTTTTTTTTTAAACATTAAAAAACTTTAAAATTTACTTTTCGTGGAGACGAGATTTCTCTATGTTGCCGAGGCTGGTCTTGAACTCCTGGCCGTAAGCATTCCTCCTGCTTCAGCTTCTCAAAGTGCTAGGATTATAGGGGTGAGCTACCAGGCCTGGCCATTTTCCACTTAATTTTGCATCAATACCTTCTTTTTAAATTAAAAACTTGTCCATTCTAATTTTTTAAACTGGAAAGATAATATAATTAGGACTGCAATAAATACTTCAAATTAATAATTATAATTTACATAGGGTGTCACTAATTTGTGCTGTCTGCATGAAATATTCAAATAAATATATTACAGTGTTATACCAGTGCATAGAAGAAAAATCATTCAAACTGAATTAGTTTGTTAAGATCTACTACTTTGATGAAGTGTTTATGTGTAATGTCAAAGGAAAATTGCACCAGGCAGGTTAAAGAGGCAAGGGAAGAGTTTATTCGGTACTGTTGCTATAGGGGAGAGATTGAACTCAACTCCCAATGCAACAGGGATTTATAGTCAACTTGTAGGGTGAGAGAGTTAGTGCATGAAAAATTACCTTTGGAACTTGGGTAGGTATTAGGAGTGGGTGGGAAGAGGAACTTGATTAGGTATTAAGGGTGGGGGGATTCAATATAAACTGGCCTCAGCAGACCAAGGACAAGGCCTGGTGGAGAAGAGGGCTCAGAAGAGCCTGACTAATGTTTGGCCAAGGAGGGAGTGCTTGTCAGTAATATTAGAAACAATAGTATTGTCAAATAAAAATTACGGGAGGCCATCGTTTTAGACTGAGCTGCTGCGCTAGGCTCCCGCATATCAGATGAAGCCAAAATAAGAGTCACTCATACTAAATGCCACGTAATCAAACTGAAGCTTTAAGGAAGCAGATCCCAAAACAGACCAGTTTTTCCTGAAAAAAGGAGATTGTAGTTTACCTGCGTTGGAGTAATAGAGAAGTTCCCTTTGCTTTAACTCTCACAAAAAAATAAGCTGAAATAACCTCATATTAACCAGTTTTTTCTTCTATTGTTCTGTTTCCTTGTTTCTACCTTACAAACCCCACTCTTCTTCCACTGCCAAGTGGGAGTTTTCATTCAATTTTGTGGAATGAATTCTGCCCTAAATCATGAATCTCAAATAAAAGCCACTTAAGATTTTTAAACTCAATTTGTTGTAAGTTTATCTTTTGACATTATCATATGTGATGGAAAAATTAAGGTAAAATGTAATCCTAACAAAACAGTAAAATTGTTTTTTAGGGAAAACTATGCTGCCTCAGTTTATAAATTTTGTTTAAATTCATTACAGTTCAATAAAATTTAAAATTCATTTCCTCAGTCTCACTAGCCACATTTAAAATGCTCAATAGCTGCATGTTGCTCATGGCTATTATATTGGATAGGGTTCTAGTACTATTTGGAGTCCATTTTCATATGTATGTATGTATCTGCATTCTCTACAGCATAGATACATTCTGTATCTACAGAAATATTTAACTTTGGGTGGTTATTATTATTATTATTTTTTTTTTGGAGAGAGAGTTTTGCTCTGTCACCCAGGTTGGAGAGCAGCAGTGTGGTCATAGCTCACTGTAGCCCAGAACTCCTGGGCTCAAGTGATCGTCCTGCCTCAGCCTCCCAAGTAGCTGGGACTACAGGTGTGTGCCACCATGCCTGGTTAATTTTTTTTTTTTTTTTGAGAGATGGGTTCTTGCTATGTTGCCCAGGCTGGTCTTGGATGTACTCTGGTTTTAACTAGTCCCCAGCTCATGTGCTTTTAGATTGCTTCCAATACTATGCTTCTACATAAAATGCTTCATTTCGCCTGTGTGCATTTGAGTATTTTCCTAAGATAGACTCTGAGAAGTAACATTACCAAAATTTTAGATTTTTTACTCATAACATTAATAGATACTCCCAGATCACCATACAAAATGCCATTTTACATTCCCTTCAACAGTGCAGAAGTATACTCTTTCCCTTATCCACTCTTGACATTTGCGATCTTAAAAAGTTTTGCCAATCTATGGATGAAAATGATTTTTAGAGTACATTTCCTTGATAATTAAATTGAACTTTTTTTTTAGTATTTCATTTCTTAACACAATACTTTTATTCTGAAAATAACAAAATATCTAGATAAAGTATATATCCTGTGTTCTTGCTTTCCTTGGTTCTCTTTGAATGTTTTAAAAGCTCAAAAAAAAGCTAGAATGACTTTGAATACCTTGTTTTTGGGGTGGGCCAATTTTTAATTTGCATGTCTACGACAAGAGTCATTTGCATTACTATTAGTTTTCTACAATTTACTGTAAAACTACTCAAAAACAGTGAAAGGGGTAGGACTAGTATAGAATCACATTTCCTGGTAGGGTATGCCAGATAACACAACACCTAGAGCATTCCATGGAACGCTTGACAGTCTTTCACTTTTTGTCTACAGATAATACATTTAAAATTTCTAGAACATTGTCTGCCTTGTAAAGAAAATAAAAAAAAAAAATCTCAGGACCCCTTATGCAAAAGGGAAAGCTAAGCCTGAAGGCTGAGTCATGCAACAGCCTCTTCCAAATGAATAGCTATTACGAACATTATGCATTAGCCAGATCCCCAAGGAAAGGTGAAAGGCTTCATGCATTTATGAAAGACTGCCCCCACAGATCATTTGTAAGTAAATTCTTTGCTGGCCTCCCATAGCAAGGACAGTCCAATTGTAACTTTAGGTCTGTAGTCTAAGTCTAGCTCCTAAAACTAAAGTCTCTTTGATTCTACACTGATAATGTCGATTACAAGCTTATCTTCCCAGGTGCAGAGCACAGACAAGAGGGGCTGAATCATTCTTCCACTTACCCAGAGATGTCTGCATAATTGATTCTTCCTTTACTCTCTTTTTCTCTTCAAACATTTACCTTTTCTTATATAAAATGTAGGTTTCCTGAGCATTCACTAAAGTCTCACAAGAATGTAACCGTTTCCCTTACTGCCTACCTGCCCCTCTTCCTACATTGCCCCCCTTTGAGGGAATGTACACATACTAAACCTCCTTAAAACCTCTTTGGAAAAACAGTCACAGATACATCTGTGGCTTGTGTTTTTCTTGGAAGTCCCCTAAAGCTGGCTTAATGAACCTCAGTTGATTGAGATCCTTGCCTTAGTCACACATTTCGGTTGTTGGGCTCATAGTGAGAATTCAATAAATTTAATTTGCATCTCTTTTGTTAAAAGAATGGGGGAAAAAGGCAATTGAGAATTTATAGCATTTCTGTGAAACTGCAGTTCCTTGGATAGAGGCTGTATCTAAATTCACCTTTGATTTCCCTGGGGCTTCCACAGTTCTTGGGGGTGTTTTTATAGGTGTTCAGTAATTGATTGAATTAAACTCTGTTCAAGTATGTTCTAATTTATTCTCCTATTTGGAGAAATGTGTATCATGAAAAAATAGGCTTGCTTTGCTTACGTTATTTATCATATATTTTCAGATGGGGATTAGAAAATATATTGTAAGCATTAAAACTGGTGGCCTTGAAAATGGCTAGACTAGCTGTTTCCTTTCATAGTCCAAATTGTGTGAATATAGCTAAATAAAAATCCTGCTCTATTATAGTAGCAAATGTGATTTTGTTGTGTGGAGTCTTAAGGCATGATTATGCTGTTTCTCACCATGAATAATGATTTTTTTACACATGATAAAGCAGGCTAGCCTATTCACATACATTACAGCTAGAATAATCCATTGCTTTAAAAACATGATTTTGATCTGCTTTTTAGATTTCCTGTTCAACAAAAATTTCTTCTTAAATAACTGAAAAAAATATGCAGGGGCTAATGTAGATTGCAAAATGAAGGAGAAGCTTAGCTTTACTGTGGAGTCTGAGTCTGGGTGTAACCTAACTAGCTAGAGGATATGCAATTCCTGATTGACAGCAGGACCAGCATTATGCAGATTTTGTAAGAGAGAATACTCAGCTCGGAAACAGTGATGAGGGGCTCTGTTAGGAATTACTACATTCACCACTCATATCTTTTAGTTTTCTGTCTACTGGATTTGTAAACAAATAGCACAAAACAGTTCCTCTTTTGTTTTTATTAAAGTGATACTGCAATGCAGTTTCAGTCTATCCACTAGGCATACATATGTGGAAATTCAGTATTTTCACTAAATTAGCTAATTTTTAGCTGTGTTCCATGCTTATCTCTATACCTTTGTGTATTAAATCCTATCTCGAGCTGCTTCCTTTATACACAAGTGTGTTTTGCTTGTACCTTCCTGTCTTCTTCAGTGCGAAGCTTTATGTAGGTCAGGCTTGGCTTAAGCAGATTTCCTGAACCTGCGTCAGCTTAAGCTGGAGGAATTTTAATAAACCCTCCCCTGTAGGCGTGGGCCTAAATGAGGCTAGCCTAGTTAAGCCTGATCTTTTTTCTGTTTGTGAAAAGAGCTGGGCAGAGCTGAAGGCTGCTTGGTGGTTTTTAAAACTGCCTACTTAATTTGAAAACAACAATGGTAGGAAAGGCTAGATCTTCCAATTTTACCTTATCTGAAAAGCTTGATTTGCTAAAGCTTGTGAAGCCATATGTGAAAATTCTCGAAGAACACACTAATAAACATTCAGTAATAGTGGAAAAGAATAGGTGTTGGGATATCATAGCAGTTAACTATAATGCAATTGGAGTAGACCGCCCTTCTCGAACAGCGCAGGGCCTACGCACCCTTTACAAAAGGCTCAAAGAATATGCCAAACAGGAGCTATTGCAACAAAAAGAGACCCAATCAGATTTTAAAAGCAATATTTCTGAGCCAACCAAGAAAGTTATGGAGATGATACCCCAGATTTCCAGTTTTTGCCTGGTAAGAGACAGGAACCACATACAAAGGTAAGCTTTATTTTATTTTGTTGTGGAAAATTATGGCGCCTCCTATCTATTGAGCTTTGGCTTAGTTGTGATAGAGATATGCATAGTAAGCATCCCCACAAGGGGAGCAATGAATAGTGTCTTTGTTTTGCATTCTTAAAAAAAAAGTGAGGCTATAAGGAATTTTTCTGCTGCATTTGATTTAAGCTACTTTTTTTTTTTACTATCTTCCCCTCCCCCTTCCCTCCTGTAGTTTCTAAAAGTAAAGGTTAGGGAGGAATAAATGGCATGAAATTTGTGACATCACTTCATAAACTTTTTAAGCTTTAAAATTAAATTATTTAATTAGTTTCTGAGAGCTACCTTTTTCTTATTTAAGATTACATTTCATTGGAATTTTTGATTTTATATAACATTTATATAAAGTTAGCAGTCTCCAGAGAAATGGAATCTTTGCTTTTTTATGAACTGTCAGTGTCTGCACTGAATTGTCACTGTCTACACTTACTGAGCATGCACTGAACTAACAAATAGAAGGAAAATCAATTAGTAAACATTAATTACATGATTGTGTATATGAAAACAATTTAAATTATTTTCTAGAACATTTAAAATAAGTTGAACACAACTAAAGGGAGTTAATGCTTAAATAGGAATTCAGATTATTTAATAAAATTAAAAGTTTTTGTTGTTGTTTTTATTTATTAATGTTCTAGTTTCACTTTGATCTTGGGCCATACAGGAAAGAGTAAGCTTTCTCTTACTGCTTTGCAAGGATATGAAACTCTGAATTTTAATAAACCCATAAGGGCAACTGGGCTCTTTTAGGGTCAGACACAATTTTTTGGTTAAATTTGTGCTCTGTATAACTGCTTGCTTGGAAATCTTCGAAACTATTATCTTGCCACTAATTCAAATTATAACCCCTGGCAAAAGATAAAAATGGCAGCTACATTCTTCTGAACCATTTAGGGTGATTTAACCAAATTATAAACTCCTTGTTAAGGGGCTTTTCAAACAAAGCTTTATACAGTATGCTTTTCTATTGCTCGATATATAAACAAATTATTGATCACCTGTGAAATCCCTTTGAAATTTGGAAAGAAGCAGAGAGAAAATTTTTTAGCCAAGTATATCTGTTATTTTGGTAATCTGTCTTCTTGCCATATACTGCTTATTTCTACTTGATTGTACAGTAAAAAAAAAAAATACCACTAGTGGGAATCCAGGACATTGGATACACAGTGGATTAATTCTTGGGGCCACTAGTTAAAATGCTCACTGTAATGACAAATGATGAAATCCCAATATCCTGGATATTAAAAAAAACTCCACAGTAAAATTGTTATATGTCATGCTACTTATTCAGAATTTTCTCCCTCTAAAACCATGGAGAAAAGTGTTTTTTGCATTACAGGTATAAAACTATACCTTTTAGGTATTAAGTGTAGTTTTTTTATAATTGAAAAACTACACATAGAAACTGTAATTTTAGTTGCATATTTTAAAAATGCAGTGAGTATAGAAGAGAAGCAATAAATAAATATACAAATATGTTTACATTTTTATCATTTGTATGCATATACATACAATATACATATACACAAAGTCTTTTGGGACACCAAAATTTTTCTGATAAAAATGAGTTAATTGATTTATGCCTTACTATACCACTTTTTAAATGATACCAATGTTTTAGATTTTTAAAGGGAAGTATGTAAGAAACATGCCATTTAAATTCTTATGTTAGCGTGTTTACACTGCCATTTTCTATATATTATTCATTCAATATATTTATGTATTTAATGTGCTTCTACTTATTTGAATGACATCATCTTGAATCAATATCTTGAAAGTTTATAATTATTCTATAATCTTAATTATGCTTCTACATAACATGCCTGCTAATTTCAGCAAACTTTCCCTTAATAAGGAAAATATTACTGTTTGTATTATTTAATATATTTAAAAATATATACCTATTTTGTAAGGCTATTTATTTCTACAACTCACATTGATTTGTGTCTTTATTTTTGCCCCTCCCTAGTATCAGATTATACTTTTTTTTTTTTTTTTTTTTGGCAAGGCCAAGGCTAAGAAGATATACTTTTTGTTTTTGTCAACTGTTTGATCCTCAAAGTTCAAACTTATAAATTTTAGAAGTTTGTCTTTATTGATCATTTTTGTCATCTTCTCTAAAGCTTATTTTTTTTAAATTTCGTTATGCCTTACTTGAAATGTTTTAACTAAAATGTAATGGAATAGTCCAGATATAAGGCATATTTTTAATTACTTGAGAATATAATGTCTATGTTTATATTCTATTATACATACTAATTTGGAATAGTAATTGAGTGGATTTTTAAAAACTTAATTTTCACATGTAGTTCTAACCTTTTCCATTCCACGTTTTAGCAGAGATATTAATAGAAGCAGGTCTTGCTAATTTGAATTACATTTATAATCCATTGTTTTTAGAAATCATAAAATGACAAAAAAAGACAACAAAAATGAAGGAATTTATATAATCCATAAATAAATTTTTATGATATACAATATATGTATTAGTTTCATTTTATCTCTGAAATAAATATCTGCTATTTCTGGCAATTTAATGCCATTAGCAAATGACTTATGGAGAGTTTTAATTTTTTTCCATACATTCTACTTGAACTTGTTCCAGCATTTTAATCATCTATATAGGATGTATTTTTTTAAAACTATGTTACTTACTTATTTGTAAAATGTCCCCTAAATAATGTTAAATACTTCCATTAATGTTCCAATAATCTTTCCCCTCTAAAACTTTTAAGTTAGATGCATAATTTAAAAAAAACTCAAGAAACAAGATTATATATTCTTCATGCTATACATGAAATTATTTTTAAAAAACAGCTTCATAGTATATATGAAATTATTTTTGAAACAGAATTTTCAAGTGTGTTGTATTTATAATGTCATAACAAATATTATTTCAAGGTTTAAATTATGCTAAAATTGTAGTTGTCTCTACTAAGAAGCCATATCTTATGGAAATTATGTGTAAATTTGATAAACCTTCAATATATCTATAGGCCATTTAAAAACATTTCATTAAAAATCATGTCATTTGTTCATTTATTTAATCATTCAACATATAACAAACACCTAGTAGGTTTCAGTTACAGAATTATGCTAGGTACTGGGTATATAGTGGTAGAGAAACCCTTGCTTTTGTGAAATTTACCTGACCAATGGTTGAAAGACATAAAGAGAGCAACTGAGTCACATGGTTCAGGGTAAGTGTAAAGAGTAAATGCCATTGTATTTGAAATAGGATAGTTAGAATAATACCCTATAGTTGGGCATACCCCAAAGCCATACACAATCTTTTTTTATTTTTTGGGCAAATGCAGAAATCATCAATACCTCCCATAGATGGCCTTCCACTGTCTTTCTAGAAGACATGGGACTTGGTCGTTTTTAGATCAGTCCAGGAGAGCAGAAGGAGGAGTTCTGGGGCTAAGGTATGAATATAACAAGGCTGAAAATGCATTAAATGGCACTTTACACCACTGGAGAACCACAGAGTTGTAGGGACAATTGGTTTTTCTTTGACAGCATTAAAAATGGCTTTTCTTTTTTATTTACTTCATTGACTTTGTATAATATTTGTAGTTTCCTGCCCTTTTAAAAGCCCAGTTTTGGCCAACATGGTGGCTCACGCCTGTAATCCTAGCACTTTCGAAGGCCCAGGTGGGAGGAGTGCTTGAGCCCAGGAGATTGAGGCTGCAGTGAACTGTGATCACACCACCGTATTCCAGCCTGGACAACAGAGTGAGACCCTGCCTCAAAAAAAAAAAAAAAAAAAAAAGCAACCCAATTTTAAAGTTAAGGATGTGGGGGTGGGGCGCGGGGGAAACCTGTATATATATATTATTTAAATTCCCATTTTAGTCACTTTCATTTGTTGTTCCAAGTGTTAACATTTTTTCATTTCATGACTTTCTTTATAGTTTTAAAAGCTTTATAATTTAATGTATATTAAATATGAAATTATACTATAAATATACTCTTGTCTTCATTTGATTTACATTTTATAATGCTTTTTTGTGTGCTATAGTGCAAACTTGGATGAGGAGGCACAGGCTGGTACCAGTTCACTACAGGTAATGTTGGATCACCATCCTGTTGCTATTACAGTGGAGGTGAAGCAAGAAGAAGACATTAAACCACCTCCTCCACTGGTTTTAAATTCTCAACAGAGTGATATTTTAGAGCAAAGAGAAGAACATGAATTAGTACATGTTATGGAAAGATCCTTGTCGCCTTCACTTTCCTCTGTTGATATGAGAATGACATCGTCTCCATCTTCTATTCCAAGGAGAGATGATTTTTTTCGCCATGAGAATGGAGAACACTTTAGGTCATTACTAGGGTATGATCCTCAGATCCTGCAAATGTTGAAAGAGGAGCATCAGATAATTTTAGAAAATCAAAAAAACTTTGGATTGTATGTTCAGGAGAAGAGGGATGGATTGAAAAGAAGGCAGCAGCTAGAGGAAGAGCTACTAAGAGCAAAAATTGAAGTGGAGAAGCTGAAAGCAATTTGCTTACGGCATGATCTACCTGAATATAATAGTCTGTAAGATTTTTTTTCAATCTTACAATTTGATAATTTTAATTTTGGCCAAATTTCTTTAATTTTGGAATATCCTAAAGCAAAATACATATTCTTGAAAAATGTTATTAATCTCTACAATAGAAAGACTTTTAAAACATGATTTTCTAATTATTTAATTTTCTTTTGAGACATTAAAATTTACTGATCGGTTGGCATGGTTATATTTTTCATTGTTTTCTCCTGTTTTTCTTCTAAGAAGTTTAATAGTTGGCCTTACAAAAGATGTTTTATTTTGATCATTAAAATGTATACAAATAGGTATACAAACATACGTATTTCAATGTTCTGAGTCTTTAACATTTTTAGTTAGAACTTTTAAAGCTGTAGTTAAAGGTTATTAAGTCAGTTTAGTTTAGAAGCTATGCTCCTAATAACAGAAGCTTGTCTGTATGTCATTGGTTTTTATGCTTTCATCTTTTGAAGGAGTAAGTCCTAGGATTTTAGAGATAGAAGATATTTGAAGAACAATTTTTTCTACCTCTTCAATTTAGAGGTAGTGAAACTGAGGTCCAGGGAGAACTTAATGACTTAATTAAGGTAACAAAGCTATTTATAGACAGAGTAAGGACTAGCACTCAGTTCTTCTTTGTGTAATTTCCCCCCTTGCTATTCCATAGAAGTAAAAATCCGCTAAAATATTCTCCAGATTTAAATATTAGAAGCATTTATTTCATTAAAACTGCTTTTAAAGATTGTTAGGTTATAAAATCAGGGGAATTGTATTAATTACTCCTATTCCACCTCTATTTTTTGGTCTGGCAAAGTATGATAAAGTATTCTATTGAAGCTATTATATATTTTGGCTGTGTGATTTAATGTCATAATTCATTTTAAATGTCTTTTTCTGAAAAACGTTTTTTCATAGTAAAAATCAGAATGAACAAAATTAAGATTTTACTTAAAAATAGCAAAGAAATCATATGTTTATAATTTATGATATAATCTATAGTCTATTTTATAAATATTATTTTAGTTTTTGTGGAAATTAAAACCTTGATTCTTAAAGCATACATATTGAATTTATGTTAAATCTTTAATATGTATATTACTTAAGGATTTCTATTATATTTTTGGCTGTGGTTGTTTTGAGAAAGGATTTCTAAGCCAAGTTTTAGAATGGTGTAGGTAGAATTTCAGCAGTATATGGGAGAAGGGGTGTTCGAAGTCAGAGTGAGCAGCTGGCAAAAAGACATAGAGAATGGGAAAAAGTGGATCAGGGCACGTAAGCACAAATGCAGTGCTAAGCCAGTGATTTTAAGTGAGTGTAGAGAGAGCCAGTTTGAGCTGTGGTAACCTGGACTAGGAAGGACATCTCCCTGGACTAAATGGGGTAGCTGTTGTTTAGTTGCAGCAGAATTTTTACATGCAGGAATAAGCCAGAAATCTGCATTTTGTTATGTGAAGTTTTCTAATTTTAAAATATTTGCAAATAATTCTAAATGCTTTTAAAACAATATACAGACAACATGTGAGTGGGCCTCATTGAGCCATTGGGCTTCCAGTTTGTGGCCTTTGGAGTAGAGCAATGGTTTTTCGAGTGTGGGCCTGATCAGCAGCAGCAGCATCTCTTGAGACTGAATCAGAAACTCTGGGGGTGGGGTCTGGCAATCTGTCTCAATAAGCTCTCTCTCTAGAGGTTCTGACACAAGCTAAAGTTTGAGAACCAGTGAAAGAGAGTATTTTGGAATAAGTCCTGGTGCCTAAATCATATTAGATTGTTCAAAATTTTTGTCGAAGAGTGGTTGAAGGTTAACTGGGGGATATCAATTTGGGTAGTGGTTGCTGCCAGATTTTGGATTACATTAAATACAATTTTTAAGGCATCAGATTTAACTGAATGTACAATGAGAAGCCTTTGAAGGCTTTGGGTTAGGGGAATGATGTGATTAGAGCTGCGATTTAGGAAAAGTGACAGGGATAGGCATTGTAATGAGAGGAAATTAAATCAGAAAATTAGGTTAGGGCTGTAGAAATAGAAAAAATAAACATGAAATGAACTCTCAATGGTGCTATTTTAGCATCTTGACTCCTTAACTTCAAAAAGAAGGCATTTTATACCTGAGATTAGAGTTAGATTTTTTGTTATAAAAGTGTCTTGAATATATAATTTGATATATCCTTTTGGCAATTTTTATCATCTTTCTTCTATGACTTTTCTTTGCATCTAATAATTCTTATAAGTCTAATTTAAGGTAATGTTTTTACAATATAATTCTAGTAAATACATCTTTGTAATAGTAAGCTTTATTTTTTGAAATCATTGAAAGCAAATTACTAAATGAAATGTAATTCATATCGCAGTTGCAGCATGCTACCAAGAATTGATAATGAATTTTCAATTTGAATGTCGACTTTGTATACCGAATCAGTTTTCCCAAATGTGTTCTGTGGAACTGGACCTGTGAGATGTTTCTAGAAAAGAGAACTGTGTTCAAAAATGCAACATGCACCTTTTTTGGTGGTTAGGTTCTAAAATTAGTGTGGAAGGTAAAAATTATATATATACAAAATTGCCCTTGAAAATTCCTTTGCTGCCCATAAAATAGCATAAACATAATCTGCTACAGTCACATTTTTCTCCAGCATTGTTCGAGATTGCTATTTTCTTTAGTTGTGTCAGGTGACACAATTCATTAGCATTTAGTGGCTTTGTAGAATAAGAAACCTATTTTCACTTTTTTTTTTTGAGAAGGAAAGATAAGTTTATTAATTTGCTGGCAAATGAGGAGGTTGGCAGACGCCTGTCTCAAAGTACCAACGTCTTATTTTCACATATATTTAAACATCAGAATTATACTCCTTGCAGTGAGTTTACTGCAGCAATTTTTGTGAGTCTTGTGTAATTTTAATTTGCAGAAGTTTAAATGCATATAATTCTGTGCCATTGTCAAACCACCTCTCCCATATAATCATGATTAGCATAGTACAATTTATGAGAATCCTATATAAAGAAATTTTTGGAGGCTATTTATTATCTTGCAGAATATCTTAGGGAAATTCAGAGCTAAATCCTTTTTGGTATTGGACTTGAGTTTGGGGACTACTTACCAAGTAATATTAGCAGTTTTTGCTGAGGACAAGTTTCACAAAGGGGAATGTATAGGGGGAAATTTTGCTAGTACCAACAGAATATAAAGTTGGCCTTCTATCTGCAGGTTCCACCTTTGAGGAGTCAGCCAACTGCAGATTGAAAATATTTGCGGGGGAAAATTAAATAACTATACATCAATAAAAATAATACTCATTTAAAAATACAATATAACAACTATTTACATAACTTTACCTTGTATTAGGTATTGTAAGTAATCTAGAGATAATTTAAAGTATACGGGATGTGCATAGGTTACATGCAAATACTATATACCATTTTATATAAGGGACTTGAGTATCTGTGGATTTTGCTGTCTGTGGGGGTGTGTGTCCTGGGACCAATCCCCTTGGGATACTGAGGGATGACTATACCCTGAAGCCACCAGATATCCTACATACCCTAGAGAACTCTTTGGAGCCATGAGCTTTTCCTATAAAATGTAATTCTGGGAAAACATGGAGAAGAGTGATTTTATTTTTAAAATGTAGACTTGATTCTATAGAAATATATTAAATTTGAAAAATGTACTAAGTCAAAAGATTATTTCATCCAATACATTAGTAATTTAGATAGTGGATAGATTATTTTTACCACCTCCTTATGTTTCCCTTATCCATGTGAATTTAAATGGATAAGTTGTTACAAGTTAAGTATTATAACTTTCTAAAGGTATGATTTATAATGGCATTCTGAGAAAAGTTAATGAAACTCATTTCTAACAAATGCCAGATTTAAAATAGTCAAATCAAGTACTTTTTTTGTATGATGAGACATCAACTTGGTGTTATTTCATTTTTGAAGAAGTCGCTCTACCCTGTTCTATTTTTACTTATGTGAAAATGCTTAAAATATGAGTTATTTTCCATGTGCCTTGAGAGTAATGTCAAATTTTCAATAGACATGTTTATATAACTTAAAGTGTAATAAATTGTATTTAATATATACTGTAGATGATGATGGTTAAATGCTTTGTTCATACATGTTCTTTTAAATGTAAGATAATACATTGTACTGATCTGTATACTTCTTTTGTGTGCCATAAGACAAAGAATTCAGTACTATAGAGGTAGAATTTTTTGATGAAGCATGATTGAAATAAATTTGTTTAGATGATTATGTTATAATATATGCCAAATGTGCCATATCTAAATATCATAATTCACTTTTTTCAAATGTTAAGATCCACAAATTCTCAAAATCAAATATTTGATGAATTTGATTATAAATAATAATTAGATGAATTAAAATTGTCACATACTTCACAACTACAAAAGAGTAAGTTCTTAAAATGTACAAGTTAATTAAACATTAATAGTTATACTAAATCTGTATGATTTTGAGAAATTGTTCAATATATTTTATATATCATTTAAATTGTTTGATTAAAAGTAGTAGTTATAATTTGAATACAGATTATTTTTAGTTTTCAATTACTTTGTAAATAGCAGAAAGCAAAATAAATGAATAAATGAAAATAAAAATCCACTTTTGTCAGCCCGAACAATTTAACTAAAATGGAATTACACCGTTGTATTAGGTCTTTTGTGTTTTAAAATTATGTGTGAACTTACCTCTGTTACAAAGATTTTCTTCCCTAACATTTTATTAAGACACCTTTTAAACATACAGAAATAGTTGAAAGAATTTTGTAGTTAAGTATTCATATGCCTACTACTTAGATTCTGCAATTAATGTTTTACTATATTTGCTTTATCACATATTTATCCATCTGTCCATGCAACAATTCATTTTTTAAGACAAATGTTATTTTAAAACAAATTGTAGAATTAGAAGAATTTACCCCTAAACACTTCAGCATGAATATTATTAACTAGAATTCAATATTTGTGCCTGTGTGTTTTTTTAGGTAAAATCTACATACAGTGAAATACGCACATCTTAAATGTATCATTTGATGAGTTTTGATAACTGATTACACCTGTGTAGGTCAAATCTCTATCAGGATTTGAAACATTGGCTGGGTGTTGTGGCTCATGCCTGTAATCTGGCACTTTGGGAGGCTGAGGCAGGAGGATTGCTTGAGGCTAGGAGTTTGAGACCTG